CGTTCGAAGTGATATCAATTTGTCGGTGTTGATTGTTCACTTAAAATATGCACCCACTTGTGGCATATCTTATCATGTCACCGTTGCACATCGACAATTCGCAGTTGTGCATAAACGTTGCATACGTATGTATCTCATGTACACTGTGATTTATGAGTCTTACTCAGAATTTGGTGATTTATTAAAACTGGAGAAAAAATATTCAGTATTCTCTTTAATAAAACTGGAGGTAATCCTCATATCTCGATAAAAGAAGCAAACATCAGATCATAATAGCGCTGCATGTCCCCCTAGAAGCCTTGTAACAGTTGTTTAAACATTTTTATGGTAGAATAAAAACCTTACCAGATGTCAGCCTGTATATACATTATAAAACCATACAGAATGAATGAATTAGAATTATTAATTCCATTAAAGAAATCTTTTAAAATTAAAAGTTGCTAAAATGCAAGAATGCTTTAATTCAATAAGCTCGATTAAATAAAAATTCACCCACAGTATCTTCTAACGAATACAAGAATAATCAATTATTTTATATGATTATTCTTATATTAATTCATTCTGTATAACCCAACGGAACGTTCCAAGAATGTGAATAAGCAAAATGGAGTGACACAGTAAATCAAGTCAAAATTGAGCATACACACAATCTAATTTACTTTATTTTGTAAATTCTAAATATTATTTTTATGTACCACCTTAAACGATGCTAATTCTTCAATAAAATTATTACATGTATGTATAATTGCTTATATTCTTTCACTTGAGGAACTGTTGATAATTTATGCACATTATTATGAAAATAATATGAAAAAATAAAAGAAAGTATTTGTCTTACAACGATTAATATTTCAATGTGATAAAAGAAATTTTTCTAAAATTTTTGTCTCTTACACCACTTTCATGACAATCAGCATATTTATTACACAGTTTATTATATGATATAGTATATAATTAATTGTATGATTGGTTTTAAATTTTATTATATGACTTGTTATATGATTAAAGTTATATTATTTACAATCTTTCGATTACGACAGTGTCTGATGATTGAAACATTTGTCAGATTTTCTTATGCTGATGATGAGTACCTACTTAAATGATTTAACGCTTGCCTGTTGATAATGATAGGCAACGTTGATGCGATACAAACGGATACGTACGCCTTTAGCTTGTCTTCTTCCTGCACTTAATGTTATTCCTTCAAGTGCCTCTATTTTTCTTTTTCTTTTTTCTACCAGGGATAGCTTGCAGAGCTTGTTCAGGTGTTCTTGCGGGTTTCTGATGAATGTAGACTTTTAGTTAGCGTGCTGGATCAGAGGACCTGGTTTCAATTTATTTGATTTACTGACAAAATATTGATACGGAAAACCGATTAGTAAGTACCTCTACGGAGGTACAATATTATTACGTACAAAATAAGTTAAATGTCTTATCTGAACCTCGCTACTGGCACAGAACATAAAATCCAGAATGAGATCCTGTTACAGTTAACATTGGCACGAAATTTATTTATTAAAAACTGTTATCTGTTGATAAATTTGCCTGATTTTCCATATTACATATTTACATTCGCGCAACATATATTTTACTTCCTATATTTCGTTATCGTACTTTCGTATCTCGCCCCAGTAACGCGAGACGGAGTCACAGAAAATTAACTACAGAAACTAGAAACCGGTGCACTGCTTCGGTTCATAAATTATATCTATATTACTTATTAATTTCCATACAAATTGATCACCACTTGTCGCCTTAATCTTTATTCTCGAGGCGAAACTGTAATTGGTTTAGTATAGAATGCGTTAGAATCTAGTAGGAAACGTCACATCATTCAAATGAACAGTGTAATATTTGATTATGTTCAAAGAAATGGACTATATCTTGAAGAAACGAAAAATATACAGTTTACATACTATTATAAATTAATACAAGGGGCAATAGTTATAAACTAATAGCGTAAGCAAGATGTGATATTATGGAATCATATAATACATAGATGATGATAAAAGAATATTTATGTAATATACGTAGTGAAAGAATGTGTAGTGTATGTAAGAGAGGGTGGAAAACGATGAAACACTGATTAAAGGATTGCAAGGAAGGTTTTAGTGAGAGGGCAATGCTGTAGTATTGTGGATGTATTAGAAGGGAAAGGGGAGGAATGTGTGTTAAACTGGTTAAAAATGTTGGATAAGGAATTAAAAGGGAAAGAAAAACAATGATCATGAAAATATATTTGTATTTGAGTTTCATGTAAATGGATAAATTGAAATATGACTGTATGCCAAAGAAAGATGAAGTATATATCTATTTAATTTGTATTAATTTTATGTTTAGTAATGTTACTTAATTTTATGTTCAGTTATATTACTTAATTTTATGTTTGTTGTAAAATGGGTTAGTTTAACTAATTTTAATTTAAAAAATTGAAAATGATCTTCATATTTCGATAAAGAGACAAAATAACAATAAAACCATTACAGCACTTTGTGTGCTACTGAAAGTCATGCAATTTCTGTTTCGAACATTTTTTTCTATGACAAATGAACAATTTATTACTTCTCTGCAGTCGTTACGTTACGTAAATCATCCTGTATCATCCTTTGTATTCTCGATTTTTAAATGTATTCCAACAGTGTTTAAATATTAACCCTTTCACAGTCTAATAAAATAACTTGAAATCTAAGTGATTTTTATTTAATGTCACGTATAATACATACATTATTTTATATTGTTTAAATTTCTATTTAAATGTACTAGAATTATTTTGTATTGTTATTTTATTTACTATTAATGATCGACTTTAATTTCATGTCATACTATTTAAGTCAATTAAATACTCAGACTTCACTCTGTCCATATGTCGTACAGGCTGAATTATGAAAGGATTGATGATTCTATAAAAAATAAATATCTCCACACATAATAACTAGAAACACTGTTTTCCATTTTTATAATAATAAAATCCATCTTAATACATGAAATAAGAAACAATATTCAACAATTTCTTTATTATTATACTTTTCCTCTGGTCCAGAAGTGAGTATTCCCATCGCGAAAGCGATTTCCTCTTTTTATCTTTTATTCACGCATGGAGCAGCCAGTCCATTGGCAAACAGAAAGGCGGTTCCGACTGAAGAAAAAGAAATTGTTCCTCCGGCGAGAAACAGCTTCACGGTCGATCAACGTTATCTCCAGAGATAAACGTCAAGTTGATATACGAAAAGCGAGAGAGGAAGGCAGATTGCCTGTCCTTCCACAAGGAGAAGCGTGCATAAGTGGCGCGATAGCGTTGTGAAAAATTCTTGTTAGAACTTTGCCGTGGTATCGCGCTCCTAATTTCGCGTAAAACACAGGATATGAAACGTCTTCCTCCGGCTAGGAATCCCAGTTGCAAAATGAATAATAGAAAAGAGGTTCAGGTATCTGTAGGTGGTGCATGGAAACAAACTGGTTCAACATGCTTTCTGCTATCTCCTTTTACTTTTTATAACGTTTCCAAATATTAACAAATTACTTGTTATCTAAATATTGTACGAGTAGAGTATGTTGAATGCCATTTATTGTTTCAAAAATAATTTCTAAATGATGAAACCAACTACTTTTATTGTATAACATTTAAAACTGAAAATTCATGTTATTACTCTAAAATAAAATTTATTTTTTTCAATTAATTGTTTAACATTTCGTCTTGTAATCTGGCTTCCAAGTCCTGGCAAAATACTTTTTACTTTTGGGAAGTTGGATACTATAAATGCAAAGTGTTTAAGGAAATTGTCAGATGAAAGAGAAATGTTTTTACAAATAATTTCTAAATGATAAGATTAGTAACTTTTATTATATAACATTTAGAATTGAAAAATCAAATAATTGTTCTTAAATAAAATCTATTTTTGTTTCAATCGTCTGTTGTACTACGTCATTGGCTGGTAATAACTTTCGATCAATCGAAAGTGAAATCCAACGGGATCTCGTCTGGAACAACTTCTGGGAGCTGGTTTACCCGGTCAGGTCGATTCTTTCTCTTATTTTTATAATAATAAAATCCATCTTAATACATGAAATAAGAAACAATATTCAACAATTTCTTTATTATTATACTTTTCCTCTGGTCCAGAAGTGAGTATTCCCATCGCGAAAGCGATTTCCTCTTTTTATCTTTTATTCACGCATGGAGCAGCCAGTCCATTGGCAAACAGAAAGGCGGTTCCGACTGAAGAAAAAGAAATTGTTCCTCCGGCGAGAAACAGCTTCACGGTCGATCAACGTTATCTCCAGAGATAAACGTCAAGTTGATATACGAAAAGCGAGAGAGGAAGGCAGATTGCCTGTCCTTCCACAAGGAGAAGCGTGCATAAGTGGCGCGATAGCGTTGTGAAAAATTCTTGTTAGAACTTTGCCGTGGTATCGCGCTCCTAATTTCGCGTAAAACACAGGATATGAAACGTCTTCCTCCGGCTAGGAATCCCAGTTGCAAAATGAATAATAGAAAAGAGGTTCAGGTATCTGTAGGTGGTGCATGGAAACAAACTGGTTCAACATGCTTTCTGCTATCTCCTTTTACTTTTTATAACGTTTCCAAATATTAACAAATTACTTGTTATCTAAATATTGTACGAGTAGAGTATGTTGAATGCCATTTATTGTTTCAAAAATAATTTCTAAATGATGAAACCAACTACTTTTATTGTATAACATTTAAAACTGAAAATTCATGTTATTACTCTAAAATAAAATTTATTTTTTTCAATTAATTGTTTAACATTTCGTCTTGTAATCTGGCTTCCAAGTCCTGGCAAAATACTTTTTACTTTTGGGAAGTTGGATACTATAAATGCAAAGTGTTTAAGGAAATTGTCAGATGAAAGAGAAATGTTTTTACAAATAATTTCTAAATGATAAGATTAGTAACTTTTATTATATAACATTTAGAATTGAAAAATCAAATAATTGTTCTTAAATAAAATCTATTTTTGTTTCAATCGTCTGTTGTACTACGTCATTGGCTGGTAATAACTTTCGATCAATCGAAAGTGAAATCCAACGGGATCTCGTCTGGAACAACTTCTGGGAGCTGGTTTACCCGGTCAGGTCGATTCTTTCTCTTTCTTTTATCCTCGCCGCCCTCTTATGCGTTCTTCATTTTCTTGTTAATGCAATAAATATTTAACATGTCTCTCATTGTTTCTTTCATTTTCAGCAATTACATCTATATTTAATTTTCCTCGTATTTTCAATGTCTTACATTGTATCATGATACATGTACCGGGTGAGCCTCGTAACATGACGACTTCGAATAACTTGTAAGGTGTTTGTTGTACAATAAAAATTTTTAAACAAATGTTGCATAGACCCAAGAATTCAGTGCATTATTGAAATACGAAACAAAATATTGGGCATTCTATTTAAAAAAACTAAAGGTGGCCCTCACATCTCGAAAAAAAATAAAAAAACGAAAGCAAACCACATCACTCCCTGGAACTATGCAACATTTATTTATAAATTTTGTACAACAAATATGTATAAGAAAATAACGAAGTGCATGAGTCTTGAGCAATGTTTAATTAATTATTTTAATTAAGAATTAGAGAACAACGAAATCAACGAACATGACATAAAATTTCGGTATAATGAAAGAATTTTTAATCCTTCATCAACATCAATACAGCTATCTGAAATTTAACAATAATCTTGATTATGCTGCTATTAGCCGTCATTACCAAGTGAATCAGAAGTAGAATTAACACTGTCGCGACGATCATTGGAAACATTCTGACTATATTTAAGTACTTAACTTTAAATTAATTACACTCTTCGATTTATTGCGTAGAACGGTTTGTAACCGGAAGCCAGCGCGCTCTCTGATGCGATGGTTAATTGTTCTCGATGACTACCAATCAGCTTCGATTAATGCCACTTTTCAATGAAAATTATTACCGACAATTAAATCTTGCTAATATGTCGTACATAGTAGGTGCATATCCTTCGGCTCGTTTTCTAATGATCTGGATGATACTCCAGTTGCCTGAAATTCGTGTCTGCGGCCATCGATTCGTCGGGGATCAAACGCACAACGAAATTGCTCCTCCAGAAACGTCGCCATCTACGACCATGTAGCCTAGACAATAATTTGACACACGGGGAATGAGACTAATGGAAGCAGAGAGATAGGTACGATTCACAGGGAGGCGAATTGGAAGAAAATAACAGATGCAAAATATAATATATGGTATAAATTGGTAAATGGGGATGAGGTACCTGACTATCTGGGAAAGGGGAAGAAGGAAAAAGAATGAGTGACAATAGCAGGCTTCAGGTTGAGGAATGAAAGAAGAATGGGAAGATTCTGGGAAGCCAATATACCAAAATACAGTATTGTAAAATACAGACTGTATTTGTTCAGATTTGTACATCAAACGTTAATCTAAAAAAATTCAACTTTAACCCATTCACTGGCGGCCATTTAATTTCCGTCTATCATGCCCAATCAATGCGGAGTTAAATTTCCGAGGGCATTTAAATAAATATTCACATTTCCTTTTATTAGTTGAGATTATGGCTTCAATCAGTCAAGAAGAATCAGAAAGAAATACTTCCCGACGCAACGGAGATTCTCGGTCCATATCCGTAAATGAATCACAAAATACATATTTTTTAATGAAATTAATATACGGAATAAATTTCTGTTTCTCTATTTGAAATTCGATTTCACTGGAACAATTCATGTCTTATTGTATGATTTGTTATATGTATAATTTGGTTTTTTATTATTCTCTAGTTTAATTATCAATGTTTGGATAGAGGTAGGAAACAGGAGAGTCAGAGCGAGAGGAAATGTGGAAGATGTGAATAGATACTGAATAAGTGAGGAACGAATAGAGTCCATGGTATGTAAAGAGAGTTTGGGAACTATAAAACACTGGGCAGAGGATTATAAAGAAACAGCTAGCAATATAAAGTTAGATATTTTTTAGGAAAAAGATAATAGATTGGATACGAAGACTAGAAAGAAGGGAGAGCATAGAGAAAAGAAGTAAAATGCGGTAATATAAAACTAAAAATAAAAAATAGAGTAAAATAAAACTGACTAGATATTAAATATACTATTTAACACGTTAAGCGCCTGTTTTGTCTTCCTTTTT